TGTACGGTTAAAAATAATTGTTAAACTATTTTAAAAAATTAAGTATGTAAATTTAAAAAATGTAATTTTTTTTCATAGTTTCGTAAGGTGCAATATAATATAATAAATTAATATTTTCGTTGTCAACTTTGTTGACAACTACATCGCTAAAAAAATCATGTACTACAATATGCATTATATAAGCCTAATTTGTTTTTGAAGATTATCTAAGAGTTAAGTGCATATTTCACAAAAACAAATCAACTAGTAAAATTAAGTTAGTAAAACTAAAACGAATTGATAATATAAATTACGTTTAATAAATTCGCGAAGAAAATTCATTTCATTTGCAAGTTACAATTGTGACTTACAGTAAACTATACATCATTAGCTTCACTTCTGTTAGTAAAATATTTAGATACTGTACTTGTAATATTAAATCTGTACATCCCTTAAGAAATATATTTCAAATAGAACACTTTAATGTATCTCTACACGTTTATGAAATATTTTTCATTTTCAAGTTTATGCATTGCTACGAATGCTCATTTATCTATTTCAATTTTAATATTTTTGTAAACGACAGATGTGAACTATTAGCAGAGATATAGATTAATATCTGTGCTATTAGTGTCAACACGTGTAAAATAAATTTTTAATTGATCTCTGTTTTGATTATACTTTATTATTTATTAGTATTATTTTCGTCTTAGAGGATATATTGTAAATTCTAATAACTAATTTAATATTTAAATGGTATAAAATAATAAATGTATCTGCAGTTTCATTAACTTTCTGTATATATACATTAACCATATATAATATATACATATGGTTTTTTATTATAATATTTTAACTGAATTTAAAAATAAGTACTTAATATTTTTTACCGGACATAATATATCATTAGATGTGATTGACATCTAACGATCATATCTGCTCCACTTGTGTTTTTTAAATATAGTTTTACACATCAAAACGGGAAAAGTCCCTTGATTTTTACTTATATGGGTGATTCGTTTCATTTAATTTGACGCTCTATACATATAAAGTAATCTTAATAATACATACATATATAGCTCAACGTATAACTGCAATAAATTAAAAATAAAAGTGATTTTGTGTGATTTTTTTATCATATTAAATATACATATGTTATACGGATTGTATTGTATATGTACGTACATTGTATGAAATGACCAATAAGTAATAATTTGATTAATAAAATAAAAAAATAATTTACTTAGCCATCATTTTACTGAAATTTTTTAATATTAATTAAATGTTTTATATTTTAAATAATTTTTCTAAAATACTTTACAATACATACACTAAACAATTAAATAAATTAAAAAAACATAGTAAACACAAGTAAACTATTTTGTGGCGTAAGATGAAAGTGATTATATTATATAGAACCGGTAACAAAATTAACTGAAAATAATAAAAAAAAGTTTCGCCAATTGCTGGTTTTGAAAGAATTATTAGTACTAAATAAAACTGCTGAAAAGAGTAGCTCAGACTGATTGGGATAATATAATTGGCTGCAGACAAGTTAAAGAATTCATGCCGAATCGATCAAAAGCCAGAACTAGGGAGCTTTAAATGCTGTACAAATATGCCATCCGACTTGTTACAGGGATTCTCACTGGACATTGTGCAGTAAAAAAGCGTCTATCGAACCTGGGTATTACAAGAGACGATAGCTGCAGACTTTGTTGCGAAGATGAGGAAACAGCATAGCACATTCTGTGTCACTGTGATAGTCTCGCCAGACTCAGACTTCGGTACTTTTCAACTGCCATAATGGCGTTTTTAACTGCTACACGCCTATGGAACTAAAATGGGTATGTCACAATAATCCTTAAAGGATGCAGTGACGTATTGACAAGTTTCCAAACCGTTTTTATATCTAATCTAATCTAGTACTAAATTTTCAGTTTAGTTTTCAAGAACCGGTTATCTGGTACTTAAAACATTAGTATAAAATCAGTAGATCAACAACCCTGATAACGACATTCAATCATTTGTAGAAACAAGTAAGTGAAACACCAAATAACTAATCTATTTTACAACAGATAGGCGCCAACTTCAAGCTGGGCTATCGACGTAATTAGATGGACATGTCTGACACTTAATGTTGCAATTTATGTGTATGTTCCAACTGAGTCTGTTGTAAACTTTAATGATTATTGGGCTTAAGGTTGATAAGCCTAAATGATTATTAAACAAAGAAAATGTTCACATATTTTAAGAAGTGCTTTCTTCTTCTTTATGAGACTTATTTTCTTCTATAGTTATTTATTGAGACGATCAGATGTAAATTAATATTTGTTATAATTTTTTACTTAAATAAATATCTATTTATTTTTACGACCAATTTACAATAAGTGTTTTGATTTTCATTAGGATTAGGTCGTTTATTTAACACATAAAGTTATAAAAAAATTACACTTATTAATTTGTGTTAAATATTTATAATTATACGAGTATATACATAACATATAATGTTATATTTTTATATTAATTATCTAAAATAGAACACTATTTCTTTTAACTGATGTTACAAATTTAGTGTTTATATTTAATTGTTTGACGATAAGATATTATATGTCATAACAGTACACGTACAGATCATCTGTAGATCACAGTGCCATAAAACCGTAATACGTTTAACACAAAACGTGTCAAATTTATCTTATACGTATCTTTGAAACCATAAATTCTTTATTATCTTTATTATCAATATTATGATTCTACTTAATTTTTCATGTCTATCCTGCTGGAATATTTTATATCATATAAGAAATTTATAATAGTTAGTTCTTATCATTAATATAATAACATTGTTATCGAAATAAACAATTTTTTATTTGTTATTATATGTAAGCAAACTTTATTGAATTTATGTATAAAATATATAATTAATACCACTAGAACAACTTGCTTCGGAAATACAAATAAATTTGTCGTTATACAAGAAAAAAACGCATCTTTTGCTTAAACCTCTCATTAGAATTTTTTCTGATGAATTCTAGGACTCCCTTAGCTCTAACATTTTGCTTATTTATCTATCTAATCTATCTAATATGCCATAAAGTTCAACTGTAAAAATAATTTGAATTTTAAAAGATTTGTTCCTTTCTTAAAAATATTTTCTTAAAAAAGTACATTAATTTTGATAATAAATTGCAATAATGTTAACACGTGTTTCACTATCCATGATAAGAATTCTAGTAATACTTAATAATGTGTCAAATATTAAAACATGTGATATCGACAGTAAGAAGTGTTTAAAATTTCCAATTTAAAATTCTAAACATGAGCGTAGCTAGAAATTTAAACAGAGGGCCCAAACAAAAAACTGCAAATATTAAAAAAAAATTTTTATAAATAAAATATATAAATAATTAAGAAATATGATTTTAATGAATTGAATTTTAAATTCTAAATCGCTTGGAAGGAATCAATTTCAGGTGATACATATTAATTTTTTTCAAAGCAAAAACAAAAAAGGTTACTATATTACAATCTGCTAAATATTAATACAATTCTCGCTTTCTCATATTTAAGTTAACCGATCTCTCGATGGAGAGAATATGCGCAAATATTTTCTTTAGATATGATGAACGCTTTTATAATATAAATTTTATAAATTATAATTTTTATAATAAAATAATATTATAATCTTGAATTCAAGTAGACCTACTTATCCCATTGATCTTCCTTTGAGTATACACGTTTTAATAAGTGTCTAATGTATTTGATAAAACTCTTTACCAAAAAGTAATGGGAATCTTAATTTAATTCTGATTTTCTTTCAAAATTACACTAAGCTTTCAATTCCTACTTTTTTCATTTGTAATGTAATTAAGTTTTCAAATCACTATGGATCAAGATATGTTTTAGTAAATGCTCTATAATATATTCGCATATAATTTTTTCTATATATCACGATAGAAACATATTGCTGAATTATGAATTCAATTCTCAGCTACAAAATTAATAAATTATTGAATCAATTAGTGAATGAAAATATATATAAAACTGAAAGAAACCGCATCAATGTGGAAATACATTCGGTTTTTTATCTTGCAAAATAAATTTATTTTAACAAAAGTATTGGGTACATGAAAATGTTTAAAGTGCAATTTTTAATGGTAAGCTGGTTAGAATAATATGAAACTGATCATATATACTTATTAAAACAAAAGAAAGCTCATAATTAAAATAGTAGTAGTGTTCCGTAAATCGTCTTCAAAATTACTTTAACTTTCTTTATATATTTGGGTCATCAAGGTTAGTCACTTATAGATGACTTATTCTGGATTTTGGTTGATGTAAGCAAAAACTCAATTGTGTTTACACTTGTGGCTTTTATTATAAAATAAAGTTTCCAAAAAACCACATAATATTTTTTTAAAACGATATAAAATATAGAACAAAAAAATAACAATACATTGTCATCATGAATGGACTATTAAATAATATACGAAATATTAATTTTCAATGAAGTTGTTTAAAATTTAAACGAAATTCATAAATTTTATATATAATTTTTAAATGTAGAAAATTAAATTAAAATGATTATTTATTAATTAAGAAAAAAATTGTAACATCAAACCTATAGATATTCACATACTCACACATTAAATTACTTATTGTTATATATACAATCCTCAACAAATAATTTATACCTTAAACTAACACAAAGAGCTGATAATGTACTCATAATCAAATTTTGATATAAAATAAATTATAATATTCCTTTATAGCAGTCAAGCTAAAAAATTTAGAATAAGAAAGCAATTAAAAATCTGAATGGTGAATTCTAATAAAAACAGAAATAATAAGCAATTGTAATTGTTTTTGAATTTTTTTTAATATTTAAAAATTGATTACATATCTACAATTTTCAATTGTAAATAAATTTTAAGCGCATTAAAAAAAGTAATATATTTGTAAAGCTAACTTAAAACAATATCAACAATAAATTAACAACAAAATAGTTTGATTTGGCTTTTACACTGTACAAGTTTTTTTTTTCTACTTAACCTAAACAGTCTTACTCTTTAAAAATCTGAATTTAAATAATTATCTGCAATTCGATTAATATCTGTAATACTATAAAAATCGTATAAACTGATAATAACGCGATACCAGCGCGTTTTGTTAAACGATAACCACTTAAACTGAGTATGGTGAATAGCGCAAAAGTTGAGAGTATCAGTATAAAGATATTGTATTCAATACCCTTTGATGCAATATTGATTTTATTATTTGCCGTTCCGAAAGTAATGCAATTTTTAATGAAATATGGCACACCTAATGATAGTAAAATTGCCAATGAATTGGCACCCAAGGAGTTCGATACTCCGATACCATTTTCACCTAAAGAAAAAGAAAATAAAATAATTTAATATTTCGAAAGTATATACCAAGAATATATATTTTTATATACCATTTCTTAATGATATTAAACTAGAAACAGCTTCTGGCATAGTTGAACCAGCTGCGAGGAATGTCATACCCATTATGGTGTCGTCGATGCCAACGGTTACACCTGGAATGAAAAGAAAATTTATTTGGTTTTGTAATATATTTTTAATAATTTTAAAAAGAATTATGTATTATATATATAAAAAATTCGTATTGTATATATAATAATATTAAATAATATTTTAAAAATAAATAAATTAAAAACTTTAAGCAATATATTACAACATTAATATATTAATATAACAATGAATTATTAGCAAAATAATATATATTTCGACATTATAACTTTCCATTAATTTAATACTGAAAGTTAAGTTTAATACTGAAAACGAATCTCTAATCCTCTTATTCCGCAGGATTTTTTCACACAGCAATGAGCTACCTAATGAATCTATGAAATACTAATTTATTCCATTAATCAATCAGTAATCTTTAACGTTATAATCTATTATTATTTTAATTCGTAATAATATTAAGTCTAATAAAGTTTTCATATCATGAGATCATTATTCTTTTTAAATAGAAATAGTCTAAAAAATTGTAATGACAAAATTTAATTCCCAATTGAGTAAAATAGCGATTATACAGTTCTTACAGATATTGTCAAATGTTAGATTATCTCCGTTTTTTTTTATTGGTATATGGATTGGATTGATTGATATTGATTGAATTCAATTGTGCGTATATACTACATAATGTATAGATTGCAAATTGGGGTTGAACTTGAACCCAATATAACTTATAGGTTTGTCAAATTGTTGCTCTTGTGTATACTTACTGTATTAGTAATAGTAAGCTTGCTATATTATATTATATTATTTTTAGAAAAAACGTATAAATCATAGCTATATAAACGCCCTTAAAAATAATTGTTATTGTGAAATAATAGGTTTTGCACTAATGTATATATTTCAAATAATTTTAGTTATAATAATGCATAACACACATATTATAAATTGAGAACAAATTAAAACATATACGATTTAACAAAAAAAATTTTTTTGTTTATCAAATGGTATAAATAATAATAATAAATAATAAATTAATAATAAATATTAATAAGTATAATAATAAAATTTATTGTTTTCAATAGAAAGGTATTTCGAATAATATTGAGTTACAACAATAAAATTTTACTATTTATTAAATAATTTAATTTTTGTCTGACCATACAACTGTCTCAAGTATCGTGTAAAAAAATTATAATTAATTATATATAATAATTTTTGATTTTAAATTGACATATAAAATAATAAATCTTAAAATAATAATCTTAAAAAAATTTACATTATTTAAATAAAGACAAAATATTTACCAAATACTGTTAACATCCAAACGATCATATAAGCGTTAGCTCCAATAGCTATAATGCACATTATGAAAGATAATGGATATAGTTTGCGATAGGTAATCGGATTAGGTATAATAAATTTTAGTAAAAATTTGATGGGAAAGGTAAAAGCCCACCAAAATTTCATTAATTTTGACTCTCCACGTGGTAGAGCAAACAAACTTGGTGGTAATTGAACTGAAGCAGTATCTTCGTCGTTATCTATAAAAAAGAGTGATTTCAAATTCAATTTAAATGTAAATAAATTAATTTAAAAAAATATTTATTTCATACTTACAACTTTTAGATTGTGTCAAATTAACAGTCGAAGACATTGATGAAGTATTATCAGGTACATTAACTACAAATAACCCACCGCCATCAAGTGGGTCCTTTTTTAATGGCAGCTTGGCTTTGGCACTATTTTCGGGAGGTTCCGTAAAGTCTGTATAAAATAATTATATAAATTTAGAATCATGTGTCCAAAAAAAATTAACTGCAATAAATTACCGTAACGTGTCGAAAAACAACAATTTAATTTATCTTCTATGAATATTCTAATGGCAGGCATGAATTTATTATTATTGAAAGTAAGCAAATAATAGAAAACCAAAAATCCCATCATAATACAGGACTCAGTAAACGTAACATAACCACCCCAAGCCAATATAAGTAGAATAATCGTATTGAATGTATATATAGTGCAGTCACGTGCTATGGGCCACCAATCTAATTGAACGGGCTAAAAAATATCGTAATATCGTTATCAATTTAAGTTTTTGATAATAAAGTATGGTATTTAAAAATAATATTCACACCTTTTTAATGCCTAATGCTGCAACACCGGCAACACCCAATGTGTTGAACATAAGTGAACCGATAATTGTGCCCAAACCCATATCGGAACCTGTAATCAGTGTACTGATCGTATTTGTAAAGAATTCGGGCATGGATGTTGCTGTAGCCATAAACGTTGCTGCAGCAACATCTTTAGATAGATTTAAATCTTCACAAATGCATTCCACAGTTGGCAAGAAGTAATCATTACAAATAATCGCTAATAGTATAAAGAAGTAAACAGCGGCAAAGACATGCAAAGCAATCCAACCCTGGCGTAGCTGTGCCACTGTAAAAATAGAAGTAAAATAATAATTAAAATGATTATAAAAGTATTTCAAAATAAATTCAAATTATAAAATCTATTGGAATCTCAATTAAAATTTCAAGTGCTGGTTTTTTTCATTGAGTTCACAATTTCAAAATTCACAAATAAATCCCTCGTGATACGTAAGCTCTATTTTTAAACCATTTTTACCAATAGAAGAACGATAACTTATCATTAAAATTTTAAGAATTTGTGCTCCTTTGTGTTTATTAAATTTTTCGATTGTTTTCTTAAAAGGTACTCCAAAAAAATGAAATTAATTTTTTATAGAATCATCAATACTTTTTTAATTTAAATAGTGTTTTTCATGCTTACAAAAATAGTTTATTAGTTTGTTTATTACGTATTTTAAAAAGCAATCATACTACTTATACAATTTTTTATCCTTTAATTTATAATATTGATAATAATTACTACAGCTTTCAACTTTTCAATCAATGCTAAAAATTGTGTATTGATAAGATTTCAATTTTTTGATTTTTTTTTTTTGAAATGATGAATGAATGAATAATTTATTAGTTTTTTTTTTATTAGCGAAAAAGAGTTAGAGCGCTTCAGAGGGTCAACAGTTCCATAATCAGTAAAACTAAGCTTTTGTTAAGTACGATGTGATTATATTTGATAAAGATAAAATATATTATTTAATTCGATTGTATCAATATTACCTTTATCTACAATATTATCGGAAGCAAGTTTTTCAAAATTTGGAAAAATGCATGATTATTAGTTTAAAAAAAAATAATATGATAATAAGTAAACAAATTAAATTTGACTTGGTTATAACTTCAATACCCTTTACACACAGTTGTTGAAGTTGTAGAGCAGTCATTGACAGAAGTTTATTTATATATATTTAATAATTTCGACTCGTAAGATCTAAACTTCAGTACCCTTTACATACAGTTGTTGAAGTTGTGGAGCAGTCATTGACAGAAGTTTATTAATATACAGCCATAGTCAAAAGTATTTACACAACGAAAGTTTTTGTACATATTGCATAAAAACATGTTTTTATTGTTGTTGTTGGACGTCAGTTGCAACAACAACTGACGTTGTCACTTAGTTTTATCTATGCAGAACCAAATAAAAAAAGAATTGGAAAGATAACTGTTCATTTGACAAAAATATAAGCAACTGCGCTGATGCTTATTAGTAGTCAAAAGTATTTACACACATTTTTTTTGCGTCAAAAGTATTTACACAAAATATTAATTAGCATTTATTTCCTTTAAGTAAGTGCAGTTGTTGGCTTTTGTCACAAACTACACAAGTTTAGGGATTTCAAAATTTCAGAAATTATTCAGGAAAATGATAAAAACCAAGGAATTATCAGTTGAAATTCGATCTGAGGTTGGCACCTAATATAAGAGTGGGATTTCAGCGACGAATTTATTAAAGTTATGTAAAATTTTACATAAAACGACGTGAAATCTAGATAAAAATTAGAACATATGCAAAAATTTAATAAATTTGAAGAGAACTGGGCGGAAACCTGCCATGAATCAAAGGGAATGCACATGATTATTAGGAGTAGTCGTAGAAAATCCTACAATAAGTTCTGGCAAAATAGCAGCATCATCGGAAAAGTTATTTGGCAAGATTATTAGTGATGCTACACTACATCGCAGGTGGAAAAATATTAATATCAATATCTATGTGGTGCACAAAATAGTCAAAATTACTCTAACGATCTTATTAAATATTCTCTTATTTGCTTTGAAGTATTTTAAGTAACCTATACAGTTTTGAAACAATGTGTTATGAACAGATCAGTCTGAATTTCAATTCTAGGGTTCATCTGATAACCACTCCATGCATTTTCGACAACGCCAAAAGAATAAAGCAGTGCAGCCACTCAATAGATTTGAAGGTGGCACGGTTTTGTTTTTGGAATGTCTATCATACAATGCATTTGGAGATTTGGTACCGAAAAATGGCACCATAAATCAGTCCGGTTATATCGGTATTTTAAATAACCATGTCTTAACGTCAGAATATAGACCTTTTCCAATCAATAACTGAGTTCTACAACATGACAATGCACCACGTCATCAAGGATGTGGACTTAATCCAATTTTAAAAGAGTTAAAACCTACTGTTTTTTTATAACCTGCACAGAGCTCTGGTCTTAATGTCATTGAACATGCTTGAGACTTCATAAAACAGCAAAATACTATTGATACAAATCCAAAATGTAGTGATAGCATTATTGAAATAGCGAATATTCGGTCCAAATTGATTCGCAGCTGGATTCGATCAATTTCAGCTAGGTTACGGGCCGTTATTGATGCCAAAGGTGGTGTAACCAAATATTAATTATATTAATTAAATAAAAATAAAAAAAATTTTTAAAAATTCATCAATTAAGAAGAAGAAAATGAAATTAACGTTTTGTGTAAATACTTTTGACGCAAAAAAAATGTGTGTAAATACTTTTGACTACTAATAAGCATCAGCGCAGTTGCTTATATTTTTGTCAAATGAACAGTTATCTTTCCAATTCTTTTTTTATTTGGTTCTGCATAGATAAAACTAAGTGACAACGTCAGTTGTTGTTGCAACTGACGTCCAACAACAACAATAAAAACATGTTTTTATGCAATATGTACAAAAACTTTCGTTGTGTAAATACTTTTGACTACGGCTGTATATTCAATAATTCCGACCCGTTAGATCTAAACTTCAATACCCTTTACACTCAGTTGTTGAGCAATCAGTGACAAAAATTTATTTATTTATATTAAATAATTCCGACCCATAAGTTCTAAACTTCAATACCCTTTACACACAGTTGTTGAGCAATCATTAACAAAAATTTATTTATTTATATTAAATAATTCCGACCCAATAAGATCTTGAGATTTGTTTAATTTATTTATGTTATTATAGCTGGTGAATCTGCAATTTATTGAATAACCTTTTAATGGTTCAACCAATGTTTTTGATATTCTCAGATGATATTTACTATATATCATCAATGTACAATCTTGAATATTAGATTGCATTTGTAACAAAAACTGAACAAACCTTAAACAGAAAATCATTTATAATCGGTTTATAACAGGGTTTTTAAGATTGTTTACAATGGATATGCAGAAAAACAGTTTTTTCTGCTTGGTCTTGCCAGGAGGAACTGAAGAAACTTTTTTAATTTCACACACTCTTGCAAAAGTCAGAATTTGAGATGAAATCGCTTTTGCAGTTGCATCATTTGGAATCGCTCCAATATTGTTACATACAATAAATATAGGTGAAGTGCTTGAAAAGAGCTACATTATTACCTGCGATAAATTCCATCTAAGCATTCATTGGAATTGGATAATTGGTCTTAACATTTAACTAATTAGCCTGCAAAACACTTTGTTAAAAGTAGTTTGTTAATATTTTAATAAATATTTTTCTAAGCATTCATCAAGCTGCTAACAAAATACTTTTTGTTATTACTAACGAGACACCGCACTGTGGTCTTAACCAGGGCTTCGAACCAGAATTTTTTGCGTTCCGGTTCAGAACAAAAAAAAATATTTTGATTTGGTTCCAGTTTTCGCTCCATTGTCGGTTTTTTTCGGTTCAATTCCGGTTCCGGTTCTTAACTGTTTCACAATAATTCAAGGAGCTGGTTTAGGCTAAAAAAATTTCCTACTAATCATTTAATAATTTTAAAATAATTTTTTAAGATAATTCTAAGCCAACAAATGAAAATAGATCAAGAAATGACTGCGCTTCCACATTTCTCTCTAATGTCAAAATGATTTATAAGCATCAGTAGCCATTAAATAGTTCAAAAAAAAAATTGTAGTAATTGATTATTAAAAAATATTTTATTAAATATAATATAAAATTAAAAAATTAATATTGCTTACATGTAAAAATTTCAGGAAATCCAAAGTCCACTTCTTCTTCACCTATTCGTATGGAGCGTCCATTGATAAGATATATTCGTTCTTCAAAAAACGTGAGCGTTTGTTGTAGAAATGTATCATTATACTCTAAAAGATTAAAAAAACATTATCGAAATTAATTATTTATACATACAATTTAATATTTAAATAGAAAATAACAAATATTTAAGTGTTATTAAAAAATCATATAACACAATCAATTTCATTTTAATTAGTTATTGTTGCATTCAATAAACCAATACAATATAAACTACAATATTTAAAATGATTTGCAGTTTTAGCGGAAACCAAGATTTTTATTCAAAATGATAAAAAATATTAATTTTCAAAATTATAAAGCCACGATTATCATTTTAAAGTGTTTGGGGTTTTACGTATCAAAAAAAGATCGATACCTGCGATTTGTAATGCATGATTATGCCTTAAAGTATACTTATTTGTAGTTTACTATTACGTGTGGGCAATTAATTATTAAGTGCCTGCAACCTTTAATTAAATAAAATTTGAATCGAAGTAATTTAGTCTTGTATTATCTATGAAGTGGTCTAGGCATTTTATATGTTAGAATTTAACAACCTTGAATTTTTTAAACACCCCATTGTGTCTTTTTTTCAAGACTTTAACTTAATTTTTAAAACAAAATGAAATTTTGTTATATAGAACAGTGAATAAAATTGTTCTTTTTTTAATTCATATTAAGTAAGAGAATTTTTTTCATGACAATTTTCTGTTCTTGATGTCATATATCATTAATAGCTAAAATATAATTTATTTCAACTGAATTTCATATAATCTAAATCACTTAAATTGTTTATATGCTTCCTCTGAAGAAATTATAAATTATTCATAAAAAATCGGCTTACAGTAAAAGAATTGTTTAGATAAAATTATCTAAATTTCGTCAAATACAGACATGGAAGGCACTGCAATAAATTAATAAATTCATTAAAAGCCCATTTGCCATATACGAATACTCGCAGTTTGTTGTATCTACTGATAAAAATTTTTCACAAAAACATATAAAACATGCAAGGAAAAACAATATTATTTGTTGTTAGTTTTTTTGTATCTTTTTTTATTCTTGAGTAAATGTTGAGTTACAGTTTATTTGTGAGCTTCTTTGAAATGTGCTGTATCTAAACTGGTATTTATTTATGTGTTTACAAATCAAAATAAAAAAAATATAGTCACGTTTGTGCCTTCAAATTAAATAGGAATTTTTGTTGTAGTTTTCATTACCAACTTTATTTTTATTGACTCGAATTATTCATTCTGTTACTTGATTTTTTGCACTATTATTATTTTTTCTTTTATTAGCCAAAAGGTAAACAAACGTAGTAGTTTTTTAATTTTTTTTTAATTTTTATTATTGTTTTGACTATGAGGAACTGTTTTTTTTTATTGATAATATATGATTTTTATTTTGAATTTGCTAAGTATATTTAGTAACTTACTATGAAATTACGTACTTTAAGTGTGTAATGAATATTCGAAACAATTAACATTGAACGCTAAATAAATTAGTTTATTTTTAAAACTGTTATATGTAATTTTTAAGGTGCTTTAAAACCAATAAAAAATAGTACAGGTATTATAAAATGAAAATCAGTAAAATGACGAAAACTTCTGTGAGAGAATTTAATAAAAAACGGACGAAATTCTCTAGACCACATGCACCAATTGGCTATTGAGGTTATTATTAAAGATACTACATATAAACCTTGTTTTAGAGATGTACAAAACTGAACAACACTGAACATTTTTCTAGTATTATACATCATTTGAAAGAACTGAATTGAAATTGTTAAGTTATAATATTCTTAGAGAGTGCATGTGCAATGTTCTTGCTATGTGCCTGAAACGGACGAAATTCTCTGGCCATCAAAGAGCACAGGCACCAATTGCCTATTGAGAATATTATTAAAGATACTACATATAAACTTTGTTTTAGTGATATAAAAAACTGAAAAACACTGAACTTTTCCTCTATTATTATACATCATTTGAAAGAACTGAATTGAGATAGTTGATTTATAATATTCTTAGAGAGTGCATGTGCAATGTCTTGCTATGTGCCTGATCTTTTAAGATATATTAAGAAAAATACGAAATTCAAGCTTGACTAGCAATTTTCCTAATAATTTATTAACGGGTTAATTGGTCAGTTAAATAGAAATAAAAAAACTATAATTTATAATTTATATTTAAAAACAATTTATATTTTATTAAAATATTTTTCCAATATTTCGATTTCGATAGACATCTCCAGGGAAACCAATTTACCTTATTTCATTTTGTTTTTTTTTTTTAATTTTTACTTTTACACATGGGCGTTATGGTTAACTGAGTAAGTGCCCTGATTTTATTTTGCCTTTCACTCAGGGAAGAGAATATTCTTATACATAATATAATATTCTTTTATTCAATATATTAGTAAAAAAGAAATAGAATGACCACATTGTAAAGATTTAACGCAATTAACATAGACCTACACAGTGCAATTGAAAAATTCTATCTTCAGGTAATTTTTTATTAAAAAGTTTTTCGAAAAGTAGTAAACTACAACAACAAAAATTCATTTTTATGTTATTTTAATTAATTGAATTTTTGGCCGACTATATAATTATTTATTAAATAAAAATTATACCAAATATTAACAATGCTTTACCAATTTAAAACTAACAACATTTAATTAAGACGTAAATTAAACTAAAATTAATAATAATTTTTTTAAAATTACATAATAAAATATTGTTAAATTTATATGAAACTCATATGATGCAATAAAACCAAAAAACCGTAAGGTAAGGAGAATTCATATGTCAGAATTTGGACCACAAGAATTTTATATGAATTTGGAAAACTGAACCAATTCACATGTGAAAGCGAAGTATTAAATACAAAATCAAATTCAAAGCAAGATACAAATGAATCTATATATAAGCAAACATATTACGATTCAAAGGAATGTGGTTCTATACCGCATTAGAAGAAGTTGACACAGAGTAGCACAGAAATATATATCAGTTAATACTAAAAATATCTCAATTTTCATAATTTTAGTTAATTTATATAGTTATATAAAATAGCTTAAAAATATATATATTGCAAATCCTTTGCTATTTTTTTATCGTACTCCTTTTTTTTATTTTTGATCAGTTATTTGCATTGTCTACAAATATTTTAATGATACATCAATCAATATAATAATAATAATAACATAAAATTTTAAATAAAGAATGATAAAAATCAATAAATTAATATAGATAATGATATATGTCTATAGCATTGTTGTTAACAATAAGAAAATAAAAATAAAAAAAAAAAATTTTAAAGATAATGACAATATAATGAAGCATATTTAAATGTTAAGTTAATTAGGTATTCAGTATTCAAATTATATTCTTTTATGATTTCAATCTGAGAACATCTTCAATGTGTAAATTAATTACTTTATAATAAAAAATGTTTTAAGTGAGCTTAAGGTTTATTGTTGATCGTTTTAATTATATTTAACAAAAGATCTAAGAAAAAAGAAAGTTAAATTGGTATTTACTGAATTTTCAGCACCCTTCATACAATTTTAAAAATAATGTTACTATACAATTATTTAATAATTTGTTTAAAGTGATGTATTGTATACATTTAAAATAATAAAAAATAATAATAAAAAAATAATAATAAAAAAATAATGATAAAAATTATAATAAAAAAACTGATATAATATTCTCCTTTATCCTTACGTAAATTTTTATTCTATTAATTTTATATTTCTTCTATTAATTTTATACATATATATATATATATATAATAAAAGTATTTTTCAAGCACCACTATTATATACATGCCTTGATTATATGTAAGCTTAAATGTCAACTCAGACTTCCAAACAAATGGACAATTATTATATACCTTAATATTAATGCACAAATTAAGAAAATATCTCAAAAAATGTTGTGAACAAGTAAAAAGATACAAAACTATCAAACCGAAAAGCAGTTCTACGGTCAAAATATAACAAATAAGTGACCAAACAATAAAATAAAGACACCTCAATTATCAAAAATATCAAAAAACTGTAAAGAAAAGCAAAATTAGCAAACAGATTAACAAGCAATATAAATCATAACACTGAACGTTCAAAAAATATACAGAATATTAAAGCTATAAACATATATTTGATGCAACACATATATGAACATATAATTTAAACAAATATTGAGACAGCACGTGTTAATATATTATAGAAATCAGAAAAAGTATATTACAATCTTTTGAGATATTTAAATATTACATATTTTGATTAAAACTAGTTACAAAATGACAAGACATGCGATTCTACCATATATCCGTCTAAGTTCTTTCAATATATATTAAACCCGATTATTACCTATAAGGAACAAAGATTAGAGCCCTTTAAATAAGTAAAAATGTAATTTGTTGATAAAATTAGTCAAAGTTACGTTTTGATTCTATGGATTTTAATTATTAAACCAATTCCTTTATAAAACGTAAAAAAGTTCAGACCCCAAGGAGTTTTATAAAAATTTTGTTATATAAAACTTAATAAACTTTTCAGCAACAATATTAGTTAATTATTAATTAAGGTAACGAATAAAAGTTTGCGAATAAAGATTCATAAAAATTAGATTTTGAAAGGTTTGGTAAATATGTTACCACGTCTCTGCATCCTTTGAGCATTATAGTGAAAATACGATTTATAAAATTTAATATAAAGAACCAATATAGCTATATTTGTTTTCGATGAACTCAAATTATTCTATATTATGTTAAAAAACTAATTACAATACAACGTAAACATCAGGTTAGGTTATACCGGCGATCCCTAGGGGATCCACTTAGGCCTTTTGGCCTATTGTGTTACCGTATAGTGAAGAAACTCAGGGTTTAAAATTATCTAGAACCTTTGGCGAAGCTTAGAATGCTGTTTAGCAGGAAGTTTTGTAATTGATCAAGATCTTTAAGAAAGA